ATTTACCTATTGAAAAGGTTTTTATTTAATTGAAGACATTTACACAACTTTGATTTTTATGTTTTTAGAATGTAGTTTATTTTATGTTTAGTTTGAAGTTTTGTTTAATTGTTTAAGGTTTTATGTACGGATTTAATTTTAACAATGCACCTATTCTAAATGTTCTGACATGTATGGAATGTTTTGTGCAATAAATAGTGTATACGTATATGTCTATGTCTATAGATTTACATTGACTTACCCTAACCTATAAGTAGTTGTTACATACAAATAGTTTTGCAACATGGTATTAAATTGAATGTATCTATTATTGCAAAAAAATCATCGTATGAAAGAAGTATATTTTAAGTAGACTGAGAGGATTCTACTCAGACTGCACATCCGATTAATCACAGAAAATAATAAATTTAAAGTTGGGGAGAGAATGAAATAGAATACAACACGATCATTATTGGGATTGTGCTCCGTTCGCATTGACACTGAATTTCAACGCAGTTTCAACTGGTACAATCAGCAACCCGTTTTCCAGTCATCACTCGGAAATGGAGAAGTCCATAATAGGAAGTTCGTTAATTTTCATTTGAACACTTCCAAAAATGCATAAAAAACGTCTAACATGATGTTTAGATTGACTGTCCCTTATGGATAAAATATAGGGCTAATTATAATACGAAATAAAAAACCGAAAGGGTTTGAGTATCTTTGTGTGTTTTCTAAGTAAGATTGGTCGAATTTAATATCTGAAATTAAAATTTTATAAAGTTAAATAACAAGGAGTATTCATATATAGTTAAAATATATAGTTATATAAAATAAAGTTATATATAAAATATATAGTTAAAATATATATAGTCGAAATCTCACTTTTGATACCTGGGATGGTTAGATTTACACAAAATAGTAGCTGGAGATTGTCAAGACCCACACGACGGTCAGAGGACTGCGTCTTCCTGACATAAAATCCATAAAGGTCATCTCACAAATCAACTTTTAGGCTGTACGAAGATGTAAAGTTGAATGCAATAATAAGATTTAATATTGTTGACATCTAATCACTGTACTGCACGTGATAACATAAAATTAAACATTACAGTTATAGAGGTTTGCTGTTAGAAATGACCATTAGGTCCTAGCCCCCATGAAGCATGAGGACCATGAGGCCTCAATAAAAAAGAATTTTAATTTAATTTCTGTTCAAAGGCGTTTTTCTTCTTCACTACCAAAAATTACTTTAGTAATTTTTATTGACTCAAGTGACATTAGAGTTGAACTCTCGCCATCCATACAACCATGTAATAATAATTTACAACAACATAAGTGTCTATCCCTGTATCTTTATAGTCGGTTTACTATTTTACATTCCTACTACAGATCTTCGACGTAAACGTTAAATTTACAATGCCTTTTAGCAGTTCGAATTGTGCTACATTTGTTTTATGTTTCTCTAGACCATTTCGAAAGACCTAAGGTTAGGAAGTACTAGTACATGGAATTTACTTGGATACTTTGTGAATTGTACCCTTGGATTCTTTATTCAGAAATGTATTTTTTAGCATCTGATAATAGGTACATCAGCTCAGGGATCATAAATAAACTGTAGATGGATGCAGATGAAGTAATTATGGAGGTAGTATTGATGAAGGTGCTAATGGAGGTGTGATAGAATATTAATAATGCTTTCCCATTATTGGTACTCTAGAAAAAAATATCGCAAGTAATCGCACATTAACCCAGCATGTTTGGAGCTTTGGTGGGCCGGGTTATTGAAAGTTCCACATTGATTGATAAAAAATATATTTTAGGGTTACGTAATATTTCATTTATGTTTAAAAAAAACTAGAGTCTATTGAAAGTAGCTTTAAAAGAGGATAGAGACTGTTGCGTTGTTGGGGAAGACTTTATAGACGCATGTCTCGGCATGAACTGCAACTAACCTCCAGCGGCCATGTATCACTAAAGCTGCCATATCTCAGTAAATATTGGTATAATCTTGTTTTTAAGCATCTATTGCACTTGTCCCGTTTTTTATTTTTTCTGTAAAAATTATTTTTATGTATTAAAACTTATGATAAAAAACGCCTATTTTTACATTTTTCACCAACCCGTGAGCCCAACATTTTTTAAATTACCAAAATTTAAAAAAACTGGATACCTACAATAACATTTAACGAAAAATATGACACCAAGATCTTTTAAATCGGTTCACAATTGGGGCTACAAACAGGAAGAACTAATACCCTTACATTTGCGCGCACCAGACGGGGTAGAGCGCAGCCTTAACGACTGAGCTGTTAATCGATTTTTAATTAAATTGCCTAAAAAAAGTTAATTATGTAAAACCTTTGTAAAATCAACGGTTTTTTAGTTATTAAAGAAACAAAATTTTAAATGGCCGCCATTTTGTTTTGTGAATTTGAAGATTTTTCCTATATTTTTTGTACTTTTGTCTAGTTATCATAAATGTTTGTGCAAAGTTTCAATTTCCTACGTCAAACTATTATGAAGGAAAAAATTAATAAGTGAAAATAACAGAATTGTGGCTATGTGAGTAACTAAGGACTTCCGGACAATTTAAATAGGATATTTAGATATGATTCCTACCCAGGAACAATGCCCTAAAATATTGGTAGGGAGTTCTGAAACACTCTGCATTGTGTTTAATTAAGCTTCCTTTTAATTTGGTAGTGACGTACAATTGTAAGCGTAATGCCTTTGCCGCAGAATTATTTGGCGTACCACGATGGCCATAATGGCAACTGGGGTTGAAGGGAACATGAAACATGAACTCATGAAACATTTTTAACCCCAATCAATATTGGACCACAAGTGCTCAAGTTATCGTGTTTACGGATACGTTTTATACTATTTGTATGTGAAACAAAAAAGTCAATTGATCCCAAGTCTAGGTCTTACCAACAACACCCATTGTAATAACTACTTTCCTATAGAGGTGATTCTTTAGAAAAGGGCTTCGAACTCCTTTGAGTGAAATTCATTTTTATCGATCCCGTTTCTGCCGAAAGTGCTCAAATGGCTTATAACAGGATATACGTCAGTTAAAGAAACATTTGTTTGTAGCCTTTTTATAAATGATGTTTAACTATTGGATGCCAGGTTGGCAAGCTTGTATGTAGCCTACTTCTATAGATGGGAAAGGAAAAATAGATTAAAGAAAAAGTACCAATTCTATGAAAGATGATGCATTTGGAGTAAATTTCTCTGAAACTAATCATGTTAAAATTTAAATAAGATTTGTATTACTATTCCTATCTCGGATATTCTCAGAATAAGCATGTTCTATTTTCCGATCTTCCCCCCCAAAAAAAGGGAAAAGAATATCACTCATTTTCATAAAATGAATATGTTTATTTTTTAGAGGAACGTGTATTTGTAAAATTGAGCTCTATTTCCTCGTAAAAAGGGAAAAAGATTATCACCTATTTTCATTAAGTTATTGAGTTTGTTTTTTTAGATGTACGTTTATTTGTAAAAATGAGCTCTAAAACATACTTAGGAGGTAATAAATATAGAGATTTGTTGAACACACAAGCTAGAGGGGTTTAAAAAACACGTAATAATTATCTAAATGTATGACATTGTTGTCCTATGTAATTATATTATAGGATTTGCTATTTATACAATTTCAATACATAAATATTTCAGTGAAGGTCCTTTACATTTTATAAGCTTGTAATATTTGTAGAAAAGTATATAATGTATCTTAATATAACAATAATGGAACTGACATAAGAGTCGCATTAGTTTTCATATAATTACAAGAATAAACACCTTTATCGGGCTGTGATTCGGTAACGATGAAATAGGAATCTAAATCACCAAACAACCACAAAATTATTAAGTTTGTTTATTTACCAGCTTACACAAAAACCAATTTTGTTATTTACGAAAACCACCTTGTTTACAATAAATTATCGCTCGATGTTTATATTCACGGAGAATTCAACAAGTCAAGACTCGTTTTGACTTATTGTTTACGTTAGAGGTTTCCAATATCTTGTTTACCGATGGGTATTCTATACCTTAAGTTATAGGCCTACGTTCGTTATGTTTTGTATAAAATTTGATTATAAAGGCATAAACAAATATGATCATTGATACACGTTTTATGATATGAGTAATTATTTAATTTTGTAGTTATTGTTAAAATAGATATTTTTATGTTATTCTTTTTAAATGTTAAAATTACTTTAGTTACATGTAGCCAATTTTTATAGAAACAGAAATAATTTAATAGAGTATTTTGCAGACTAAACCCAGATTTTGAATCGTTAAAGAGTATGATTGTAATGAACAGAATGGTTTTAATTTTAGATATTATCTTCTAAACCCCATATCAAAATGGTTGTAAAATATCACCTAATCATTGTACTCCGAACATAGGCCTACTATCTTGTATACGAATATGAAGAGAGCAACGTTGTATTTAAGGATGTCTACAAAGACTTATATCTGCTCAATACCACATAAAATTAAAGTTAGCAGATCCTTACGACAACTTATCAGTTAAATATTAAGCTTATTAGGATTAGGATTTACTTCACTAACTATAATGTCAAGTACAGTGGTATGTAACATAAAATCAGTCAAAGAGTATTACAATTTGGCTTATTATTTTGCCTTTTATATTATTAACTCGATTTAAAACTGTCGTAACCTAACTTTACGCTAGAAAAGTGGACAAGACAGGAAGAGAACCACTTACGTTCGTTGGTGGACATAGAAGACGGAGCCGTGACGAATCATCCCACTTCAGGGCCCAGTGCACAGTGCAGCCACCACGCAAAACATAATAACTCTTCCGTTACTAATAATTATGACTGTTCATATATGAAACTATAATGACTTCTACTACACTCGTCTTCCCCATAAAAAAAAGTCAATACCATAAATTCAAAATTAACTCAACTTTCAAAATAAAATAAATTCACTTTCAATAAAATGCAACCAAAATTTCTTCTTCCCATTATTCATTAATTATTTTACAAGTCCAGCCTGTGAGGCTTTCGCACAGTCCGTCCAGACTTCCTCAGCGAGGGTGGTGGGCTGCACTGTGCTAGCGGCGACGCAGGAGTTGGCTGAGGCTGGGCTTGCCCTAGGCTCTCCCTGGGACTGGTAGTAGGCCTAGGTACAGGTGACATCATCATGGGACTAGTTGGTCGATCCTCCGGCGGGGGTGAATTCTTGGGTACTTGGGGTGATACAACGGGATCCTTGGGTGATACAAAAATCTCCTCCTCTTCTGCATACCGAGCTCTCAAGTGGTCTGCATGACAAAATCGGGGTTTTCCACCAATGACACTCACAAGATAGGTGACCGGACTTCTCTGTAGAATTATTTTGCCAGGAACCCAAGATATCTTTTCATTTCGGACAGTTTTGACATAGACTGCCTAACCTTCTGAGAAAAATCTACTTCTTCCCCTAAGCCTATCAGCTGCATCTTTTTGTTCCCTGTGTTTTTGATCAATGGATGACTGGAGATTGGGTTTTAACATAACCAACTGTGTGCGAGGCTTCCAAGACAGGAACATTTCTGCAGGGGTTAAGCCAGTAACTGTATTTGGAGTGTTGCGGTACGCAAACAAGAAATTTTCTAATTTCATTTGAAGAGTGGTACGCTGAGAACGCTGATGTTCCTCAATCACTTGACGCAAAAGGTTTTTCTTGACCTCCTGAACACTTCTCTCTGCAGATCCATTTGAAGCAGCATGATATGGGGGAGTTAATGTGAACTTCACATTGTTGTTTTGCAAAAAGGTTTTGAACTCTTGACTAGTAAAAGATCTTCCGTTGTCCGACACCAGTTCGACCGGCAATCCATACGATGAAAACAAGGTACGGAGTTTCTCGATAACCTTGGAAGAATTCATGGAACTCATGATAAATACCTCTAACCATTTAGAGTATGTGTCAATCAAAACTAAAAGTTGCTGTCTCGACTCTGGATCCTCCGCAAAGTCAATGTGTATCCTCTGCCATCGAGTTGATGTTGTAGGCCATTGCTGCAACGGTACTTTAGGTACCGAATTCCTAGTTAACTGACAAGCAGAACAAGAAGCCACTACGTCCTCAATCGACTTTTCCATGCCTGGCCACCAGACATAACTTCTCGCCAGCATCTTCATGCGCGTAACTCCCGGGTGTTGATCATGCAACATTTGAAGAACAGATGAATACAGTTTCTTTGGAATCACTACACGAGAACCCCACAGCAAACAACCTTGTTCCACGGACAACTCGTCCTTCTTCCTTATAGTACAGGTAAAATAATACAAAAACACTCCATATAAACAACAAAATTTGTAAATTCATGAAATTTCACCTGTGAGTTACTAATAATATGAGAAACTAAGATTCGATGAGTCCCCAAAATTTTGGGCGTCCTAAGGCCCTTTTTGGGGCCCTTTTTGTTCCGAAGGGCCCTTGTTCCTGAATAATTTTGTTTTTACGTTTAAGGTCGAGTGAGGTGTGGTTTTCGATGGTTTTAGTTATTTTTAATCGATTGGGAGTAGTTTTAAGTGTATTAAACCACACCATACAGGGTGTTTCGAAATATTATTAATTTTTACGATATTTAAACATTTATTCATAAAGTAATAAAATTAGTTACCACCATGCTCTATATAAAAGGGGATTATTGAAAATAACTGTAATTCTTTACTATATAAGAGGGAAGGATCACAAGGAGTATGGTAAGAGAAAATATTAAATACCCCCGTCACAGCAAACCTGCAGACTAAGCGAATTTTCATTTGCCCGATTTTCAATTAAATCTAAAATAGCATTGAGTTTAATGAATACTTAGGTTTGCTGCTACAAGGAGGCTAATAAAGTGTGTTTATAGTAAAATATTAATAGCCTAGTATAAAACAAATAAATTTGACAAGTTGTATTACATATCTATATGAACAAACAAGCAAAATCATTTTACACTATTCTTCTTAAGAATAACATGGAATTTTAAATTTACAATTTTTGAATTTTATTCGTAACTAATACACTTACAAAACACGTTAATATACTAAATAATTCGTTTTCTTTAAGCTCTTTAAAATGCTCTAGAGAAAAATTGGGAAACTTTGTCTTTTGAGGGTCAAAGAGTACAAATTTTTACCACATAAAACCCTGTTCCATGGGCCGATTATGCCGGTTTCGTTAAAATTGAACCGAAATTACTCGAGTTATCATGTTTACGGACACGTATATAACATGGATATATTATATTATATATATGTATACAAACACATATATAATATTTTGAGTATGGTGCTTTAGGCTTCTGGGGGCATCGAAATGAAAACGTAAATCGGTTTCGGGTCTATGTTTTACCATAATGTCTATGTTTAAGATCTTCGGTAATAGCTTATCCTCCTATATGGGATGTTTGCTGAAAGGGGATGGATTAAGTTTTACACTATAACATAATAACATAGGTTACTAAGCAAAAATTTCAACGTGCACAGGTGGTGTGAATAATCTTTCAACGTGTTTTTTATGCAAATCTATTAAGACCAATTTCAAATTGATAGTATGTATTTTTCTTAGGTAGTTATTTAAGTTATTTTTTTACATTTATTAAAAATTAGAACAATTGTATTTGTATAAAACCTTACATTGCATATTAAAATGAAGTGATTAAACTAAAGCTATTTTTCTACAATTTCCGTAGTATCTCTCTTTACAATTTCATCATCACAATAATTATTCTCAGACGACTCATTAACATTTTTATTATTCTTAGCAACTTGTCCATCTTTACTGATTTTGTCTAAGTTGGTGTTCAAGCAGGATCCCCCTTTACAAACCTAAAACCTTGCATATTGCAGAACAGGTAACACCAATCTTATAAAGCACGAACAATATGGTTCAAAAACACCTTTCATACATACTGACGTTTGCAACTTGTATCTTAAATTCCTCATACTTATTTTCAATCAATACAAGTACGGTTATCTTTCGTGGTTATGACGACCAGGACAGCACTAAGACATCAGAGCAGCATTGTCGGTACAAGCATTTTTGTCCTGAACAATGGGAACGAGGTTTATGGGGTAAAAATTGGGTTTCTTATTTACTTTACCCTCAAAACACAAAGTTTCACAATTTTTCTCTAGAACATTTTAAATAGCTTAAAAACAAATAATTTAGTATATTAACGTGTTTTTGTATGGTTATTACTTACGGATAAAAATACTAACATTGTAAATTTAAAATTCCCATGTTTTTCTTATGTAGAATAGTGTAAAATGATTTTGTTTTTTTGTTGATGGATATATTTTGATCAAACTTGTCAAATTTATTTGTTTTATACTAGGATATTAATATTTTACTATAAACACACTTTATTAGCCTCCTTGTAGCAGCAAACCTAGGTAATCGTTAAACGTAATGCTATTTTAGATTTAATTGAAAATCAAGTAGGTAAGTAAAACGGAAATTCGCTAGGTCTGCAGGTTTGCTGTGACGGGGGTATTTAATATTTTCCCTAACTCCTTGTGATCCTTTCCCCTTACTAGTAAAGAATTACAATTATTTTCAATAATCCCCTTTTATATAGAGCATGGTGGTAACTAATTTTATTACTTTATGAATAAATGTTTAAATATCGTAAAAATTCATAATATTTCGAAACACCCTGTATGGTGTGGTTTAATACACTTAAAACTACTCCCAGTCGATTAAAAATAACTAAAACCATCGAAAACCACACCTCACTCGACCTTAAACGTAAAAACAAAATTATTCAGGAACAAGGGCCCTTCGGAACAAAAAGGGCCCCAAAAAGGGCCTTAGGACGCCCAAAATTTTGGGGACTCATCGGATCTTCATTTCTCATATTATTAGTAACTCACAGGTGAAATTTCATGAATGTACAAATTTTGTTGTTTATAAAACCCTATTTTACCTGTACTATTAGAAAAATAGCTAGTTCCGGCTCAATAGAGCTCGTCCAGCCGTACATCACAAAATCTCGGACCTTCGAAAGAATCGGATCCTTATCCGTCATTTTATCTATATGCAAAGCAGTAATAGGTGCAATGTCCTTGACAACACAGAAATTGTTCATCACTTCTGTACATACATCTACATGTGAAACAAAATTAGCATCCAGCTCTATAGGTTCCGCTTCTGCTAAGGGTAACCTAGACAACGCATCAGCGTGAGAGACATCCACTCCCTTCCGGTACCTAAACTCCAAATCATATGCTGATAGAATCAAGGCCCATCTCTGCAGCCTAGCTGCCGCCATACTAGGAACGCCCTTTTTAGAGCCAAAAATAGCCGTCAACGGCTGATGATCAGTCTGTAAAATACAATGTCGTCCATATATATACTTATGAAGCTTTTTGACTCCAAAGATCAAAGCCAGAGCCTCCCGATGTAACTGGGAATAATTCCGTTCACTGGAACTTAGCGTTTTTGATGCGAAGGCAATTGGCCTTTCCTGCCCATCGATAAGATGAGATAGAACAGCAGCCACCCCTCTGGGACTCGCATCACACGTCAGAACTATGGGCTTTTTCACATCATAGTGAACTAACAAACTTGAGTCCAACACCCATGATTTACTCTCCTGAAAAGTCTTAGAACACACCTCCGACCACACCCATGGATGATCCTTATGTAATAAGTCATAAAAACAGCTTATTCTAGCAGACAGGTTAGGTATAAATGCATGATAATAATTTATTAGACCAATATAGGCTCGTAACTCTTCCTTAGTACTAGGCTCAGGCGCTTTACGCAGCGCAGTTAACAAACTTTCTTGTGGACGGAGACCATCTCGAGTAATCACATGTCCTAAATACTCTATTGAAGATTGCAAAAACTTACACTTTTGTTGGTTTACTCGAACACCAAACTCATCAAGGCGTTGCAGCACCTGCGCCAGACGGGCAAGCCCCTCTTCCTTAGAGCGAGCCGCCACTAAGACGTCATCTAAGTACGCCACCGTTCCTGGAAGACCTGTTAAAATTTGGTCGATGGCTGACTGAAAAATTGCAGGAGCTGAAGACAAACCATATGGTAGCCTTTTTAAACGATACAGACCCTTATGGGTAGCTAGGGTCAACAGATGTTGCGATTCATCCGCTACCGCCAATTGCTGATACGCATTTGAAAGATCAAGGCAGCTAAAAACTGAGCAACCGCCTAGAGTTGCAAAAATATCTTGAGCCTGTGGAAGCGGGTAATGTTCCATTTCAATACACTGATTAAGGGTAATTTTATAATCGGCACAAAGCCTAACACCATTAGGCTTAGGGACAACCACAAGTGGAGTGCTCCACTGTGAATTAGTAACTCTGTACGCAACATCCTCTTGAACCATTCGGTCCAACTCACTCTCAACTTTCTCCCTTAACGCAAAAGGCACTGGTCTCGCCTTACAGAACTTAGGGACTGTCCCTTCCTTCAAAACAATGTGAGCCTTAACAACCTTAATTTCGCCCGTTCCAGGCTGAAAAACTGACCTAAATTTACTCTTCAACTTAGCAATATCCACATCAGAACTATGATCCACAGTGGCTTTACATGAAAACACGTGTTGCCAATCTAACCTCAACTGACCTAACCAGTTTCGGCCCAACAGAATCGGTTGACTCTTACTTTCTAAACTAAGTACTGTCAAAGGCAAACTAGCCTGCTGATTATTATATTTAACATCGACATTCACTTGTCCCAGAACAGGTACATCATGACCTGAATAAGTAGTAAGTTTCACATTTGCTGGCCTAAGTTTGAGGTTAGAAAATTGTTCATAAAATATCTCAGAAGGGCATATAGTCAAGGCACTGCCTGTATCTAGAATCATTTCTAAATATACATCATTAGCCACTAGGCCTACCTTATAGCCGTTGTCTGATCCTGATTTAAGGTTGTACATACCTATCTCTGCCATTGGAACTTCTAGGCCTAGGCCAACCTCTTCCTCCACTTGATGGACCCCCATCCTAGGTGTCGACTTTTTACCATGGAAACTAGAAGATTTCTTGGCTTTACACACTTTCTTGAGATGACCTACTCTCTGACAACCGTGACACTTGTAACTGGCGAACGCACACGCACTAGACCAATGACCCGCAGAACCACACCTCCAGCAAGAGTTTCTAGAATTTTGATTTTC